TTGTTTAGCACATATCCTGGTGATTTCGTAATATATGTAAGCAACCTGTAAGAGCCTTTCAGACAAATATTACTGTTGCTGGCGAAAGCTATAACAAACAAAACTTCAGTGGTCGTGTGTGTGTGTGTGTGTGTGTGTGTGTGTGTGTGTGTGTGTGTGTGTGTGTGTGTGTGTGTGTGTGTGTGTGTGATTTTATGTAATATATAATGATAAAATATATCATTATTCCTCCTAGTGTTTGCTCCCCTGCTTTGTGAAGGAGGTAACACTTTATTGTTGAGTTGGCTGTCACATCAGCAGTCAGACTGAGTTGTCAAAGGGAAAGGAGTATGTTGGATCATTGTGACTGCAATAGCACAGCTCATTATTGCAACAAGGACTGCTTTGGAGCTGAAAGGGAAGAAAGGAGCAGAATTAAAAATGTGCAGCTTACAGCTTAGCAGCTACAGTCTGCTTTTTGCGACTGTGGTTTTAACGTTACAACAGATGTGTTTATCTGAAATGACGTACAATTGAGAAAGCAGGGGCAACATGTCCCCGGAGCAATTGGGGTTAATGGCCAAGCTCCAGGGCCCAACGATGACATCACTCTGCTGGCCACGGAATTTGAACCAGTGACCTTCTGATCACTTACCTAAGTCGTTGAACCAAACACCACCTGGATGCCTTTATAGTATTCCCTGTATACTCCCAGGAACATAAAAGGGTAAAGTGATATGAGATGCAATGTAAAGTGAAACTGGCAAAATGACATTACATTGTTTTATTCTTTGGAAAACAAAAGATCGATCTGTTGGCCAGATTTAATGATGAATTAAAAATATGCTGTGGGCTGGTACTTTGAAACCTCTTCTTAGTTGAGTTGCCACCCATCCTATATTGTACATGATCGTTCCTTATTATAAAATAAAATGCTTTGTCCCATTTGAACCAAAACAGGACGCCATTTGTCGTGAGTTTTTGGACCACACGTCCAGTTTGTTGGGGACAGTATCAATGTGGTGGCCTGGGGGGTGGCAACGCTATGGCTAGTGTTGAATAAACCGGCAAAATGTCTTGTCCTCCACTATGGCTGATTCTGCAATGCAAAGATCCCCATTGTTTTAGTAGATATGTCTTTATTTGTGGTGCTGTTAACTTTGAATATCGATAAAGGTTAAATATTGGCCAAGGTCAACACATCAGACCAATACAGATATTTTGACAACATATCAGCCATGTATGTTAACCAATTTGTATCATGCATGTTTAAGTTCTTTTTCCCTTCTCCCTGATTTTTACTGACATTGACACAGCTGTGCAAGTGGAATGTTGCCCTTTCAGAACTGTGCAGTGGGGTGAGTCAGTGACCACGTGCCAGGATGAACTTCCCCTGGCAGGCAGTGTTCAGTATGTCTCCTAACAGAATACAGCAGAATATTACAGTACCACACTGGTACGGTGCCGCAGCAGACAATGGTTGTATTGAAGCTGTGGTAGTTTAGGATGGGTTAAAGCTATGGTTTCTGCTGCCTGGCTCTGAAGGGCGCCACCAAGCGGTGGCCACCCCCAAATGCAGCTGTAGAGATTTTATTCCAGGAGCGAAACCATTGAAAGCTGCAGTGCACCACTGGACGATTAAGTTTGCATAGGTAACTCGTTTGCTCCGTAGCTCTCCTGAATGAACAGATTTATAAGATCTCTAATTGATTTGATTGTAAATGTGGTTTATCCTAATTTATTCTCTTTTGCTTTTTAATTGAAGTACATGTATTTTGAATTAGCAATGTTCCACTTTAAAAACATTGGAATGGAGCAAGTGAAGCTAGTTAGGTTTATTGTTGTTGTTGTTGTTGTTGTTATGTCTTGGCGTATGTCACCCCATGAAAATCAATGGTCACCCAGTGGCCATCCCATTATAAAATTCCTCCTGGCGTTTCTGTTGACTCTGCAGACCTTGTGAGGGGCTCTGTCAGCTCCCATCAGAGACACGGCGAATGCTTCACAGATTATTGCCGATTGCTGCTATCGCTCCAGCAGCTGCTGCCCTTCCCAGGATTGTCATCAGGCGGCTGATGAGTGCTGGTAATGCTGCAGTGTGTACTGGGATTAGTTAATTTGGTACCCAGGGGTATTTGTGTTCACTTCCTGCATGGCCTTTTAGTTCCAACCTGTTTCTCCAGCAATTAATAAACAACGTTTAACGTATATTTATGATTTCCACAAAAAGTTCTATGTACTTGATATGGAGCACAAGCAGCAGACTCACTTCACTTAAAGGACTTTTCCCCCAGTTTCATCCTACTGTCCTGTAATGCCTATGGAATTAGGCAGCAAGAACAGTCAGTAGTTATGCATGAATCTGTGCACTTGCTCATGCACTCAGGTTTTCAGCCTTTTACTGCAAGTATTATTATGGGCAATAAACTGCATTTCACAAGTTGAGAGTAGTATAGGGTTCCTCTTTAGTGTACCTTATCCCAGCTCTCAGTGAATTATAACATTAGGTAAATTGCTGTAAAGGTGGCTGCCTGTGAGGTCTTCACTGATCCTGAATGATGCTGAGCAGCATGTTTGGCTCCTGTGTGTTTCTGTGCTTCTGGCTGCATTTTTCTCCCCACACTGAAAACACCATTCCACTCCACAGAAATGCTATTTAAGGTTTACTCTTTTAGTGCTTCTGTCCGAGTTGTTCGTGATTTTGTGTCCAGTTGTTCCGTCATTCACCAACTCTTAGGCCTAGGTCCTGCCTCTTAGGCAATGGTGAAATTGATAGGTTAAGTCGCCTGTGGCATTGGGGTTATCAGATGCCCCCACTGCACCTCCAATGCAGTGAGAAACGCACAGTTTAAACTTGAGGAGGATCTCGGGTTTGGGACAGAGAATGTTCTCTGGCTTGTAAGGTTCTTTCCGCAGTGTAAAGTTCACTGCGCCACTCTGCACTGCCTCACGTTCCTTTGTAGGATTACATACCTCTAGTGCTGCTTACCTGATCCCACTTTTAGCTCTGTTCTTAAAGGACGCACACCTTAGCAAAACTTTCCTGTGTTTGGGAATGAGAGTTCAACCAATGGCTTACCCATCAGGATAAAGGATGGGAGCCAAGGTATACTTTTTTTCTGCAGGAACAGTGCAGAACAGGGCTTACAGTATGTTTGTCCGCTAATTGTTGAGGATTGGTCAGTTTTAGCAGTATATTGGTTTCAGCTAGACACTTAAGTACACTATCTAACATTCAGTATTTAAATAGTGAGTTTGACTGTCTTGGTTCAGCATAAGTAAAGCTAAAGTGGAAGTTTCTGAGCAAAGCCATTTATCACTTTGATATGTTTCTCATGACAATTTCTGATATTCATTACTGTGAATTATTGAAGTGGACTGTTAGCTGTGACACTCCCCTTACTTTAAATCAGGAAAGATATAAAACATCTGTAAAATCCGTGCTGTTTCCTTCATCCAGTCATTAGCTCATTTCATGGAAAAAATGGATAATTATAAGGTGATGTCATAGTGTTCAGGAAACTATGCATTTACGTGCTTGCAAGAGAAATGACTGTTCATTGTATAATGTGTGTACATATGGTCCGTTTTGTGTGTAGTTGGAGGGAGTTCTAAGCAATAGTTTGGCATGAACACAAGCCGATTTTGGGATTAATATCTGTTTCAGGTGGTGATAAGCTTGTACTGACAGAGCCTTTGTCTAATGAGAAAAAGCAGAGCAGGCAAAGGGTGGCAACATGCTCAGTGCTGAATCTTTTCCCAGTGCCGTCTGCTGGGTGCGACAGCAGGAGACCGGAGTCACGGCAGCATCATACGCGCTTCTGGCATGTACAAGGCGCTTTCACTGGATTGGGGTCAACCTCTTGCCTTTTCCTGTCTAGCAGCTTTACTTGTCAGGCAAATAAACGGCTTGAAGAGTGTTCTCAGCGTCTGATGCTACGTAGCAGTTAAGCTTTATGGGGAGTGGGGGGGGAGGGGGGGGCTGCTCGGACACGCTGACCTTCAGTGTCTTCGCGTGTCAGAAACTCTACCGCCGGCTGCCCATGTAAACTATTCTCCCCTCCTGTGAATACAGAAACTAGGTGATCCAGTTTTCAAATGCTTCCAAATCTGTCCAAACGCTCCATGCTGTAAAGGGCCTTCATGTCTGGCAGCACGTGTTCTGAATAGAAGTGCTGATTTCACGGTGGGTACTGCCAAGGCGTATACGGGCATGCATGGAAAAATTGGTACCTGTTCAGCATAGCCTCAAACAGCAGTCCCTTGATTAAATCCAGGTTATTTTCCAGTATATTCCGATTTTATTGCTTCTGGCTTGTATGAACTTCCTGTCTGTCACACTTGGGTAATTCCTTGTTAGGTGTGAAGTCAGTTGACTAAAGAGCACTGAACCCACATAACATTGTGAATGCAGAATACCTCATGAGAGGTAGAGATGGCTCCATATGCCTTCCTTTCCTAAAGGACATCATCTACCTGTTCAAACTATGGTGGGTTGCTAATGTTTGTGTGGCAAAGGGTTGTAAATTGTCAAGATGCCTCACTGGAAAACACCTGGAACCAGAGGAAGCGCAGTGATGCCTGCAGGTTCCACGTATGAATGTAAATATGAGTACACCCCTGTCGGCCCAAAACAGAATCAGCTCCCTGATGTCATGGACCATTGACTTGGTCTGTCACTTTGAAACACAGTGAGAAATCTGCAGTTAAATGGGGAAAGAACAGCTTTGTTTTTCTGTGGGAATGAAATTGGTGTCCCAAAGATAAGCAGCCTATGCTGAACATAGGCTGGGGGCGGGGGGGGGGTTGTTACAGTATTCTCTGCTGTTGTTGGTTTCATGTGGTATAGTATTTGGTATCAGGATGGTGATGACTGAAGGAATCTATTGGTCTGGCTGTTCTTTGCTGCTCTCTCTACAGATATATCACAATATATCTAGCAGTCGCTGCTGGAATGATGTTTAATGTGCTGATGCATATTTTAACAATTATTCTGTCTTTCTTTTCCTCTGTCTTTTTAGACTGCTGGTCTGTTTGGTGAAGTGACCCCACCATGCGTGAATACAAATTAGTGGTGCTAGGCTCGGGAGGCGTGGGGAAATCTGCGCTGGTAAGTACTTCTGTTACCTCTACCTTATAACTGCAAGCTGCCCATCTGCTGCACTCGCCTTCATATTGTCTCGGAGATTCACATAGAACTGAAAAAGTGTTCGACAGTTTGCTTGATGGGCTGGAGGTAAGTTCATCTGCCCACCGTGAAGACTTTTCGTCTTTCGTCTTCTGTGACGCGTTACCTCAGATCTTCATCTTTTGACCACAAGCCCATCCTGCTCCTTGGTGTTTCCTTGTTTTTTTTGTCACATGCAGCTGTTCTGTTATTGCCGACTTTTAAATTGCTTTGTATGGGGACTTTCAAGCAGATTCTCACTGTAATACAGTCATGTGACGCTTAATGACAGGGATATGTTGTGAGAAATGTCTTTAGGTGATCTTGTTGTGCGAACATCACAGAGTGTACATACACAAACCTAGATTGAATAGTCTACTACACACCTAGGCTACAGGAGCACTTTTTGCCTTGTTTGTGATTAGAAACATTACACACTAAAACAATAAAAGTACTGTATAGTAAATACGTAAACCAGAAACAGTTATCAAGTATGTTATTGTATGTACTAAACTTTTATGCAACGGACAGCGCAGTAAGTGTATTCACACCAGCAGCACAGTAAAAAATGACATAATTCCTTGTGTTATGACATCACTGGCAGTGGGAATTTTTCAGCTCCATTTTAATCTTATTGATGGGCTCACCATCATATATGCAGCTTGTCATTGAACAAAACATCATTACGTGGTGCACGACTGTGTTGCCAGCCTTTTTATGTCAGGAAGTAAGCAGACTGTTTTATGGGCAGCTTGTTTAAATAGGCAAATTGAAGTCCTGAATATCCCGATGCACCTGTTAGTCATGAACACTTCATTTGACACACAAGTTTTGAACCAGAAGACTGCCCTGGTAGCCATGGTTAGCTTTGCATGCAAAGTTTATTGGTTGGCTGTGGTCGATGTTGCATCACTTTGCCGACTCATCTCCTCTATTACAGACAGTCCAGTTTGTACAGGGAATTTTTGTGGAGAAGTATGACCCCACAATAGAAGACTCCTACAGAAAGGTAAGGGGGGGGGGGGGGTTTATGAGTGTGTGGGTATGGCCTGAGTCCCATCATAAGCGTGTCAATGGGCCCATCTGACACCACCTTGTCCTTCCCCAAACAGCAAGTGGAAGTGGACGCCCAGCAATGCATGTTGGAGATCCTTGACACGGCAGGGACGGTAAGCCACTCCGGCATCTTCCGTTTACTTCCAGTATTTACCAGTGTTCAACAATATTATTTGCCTTTATGTGCTTTTTGCAGCGGTAGGTTAAGTAGGATATGTATGTACTGAAAACCCTCTAACAAATTTTCTAATTTTCGTATAACTTATCTTTATATTTATGTTCCTTGTATTTTAATACTTATTTTGTTCATTTTTAAATATTTAATATGGTTTTCCTTCAACTTTATTTATTGCACAGACTGGAGCAGCAGCAATTTCATTTCATTGCTGGTGTATCTCTACATTCATGCATGTGACAAAAACAAATCTTGAACCTAATAAATCAAAATTAAAATACTTCTATTGTCTGCCTTGCTTGTATGACACTTTGGACAAAAGCAACTACTAAATACATAAATGTGAACTTTTTAACAGTTTTCTGTTTGTCTACTTTGAACATAGACATATTATGTGTCACAACAGGTTTGAAGGAACAATGCTCTCAGATTTTAAGCTCAGAACTGAACGTTTGAGGAGTGTGTGCCCTCTAGTGGCATTGAGTTCCAGCTTTTCACTTAATCAAATGTTGGTTTCTGAATCCTGCTTTTGTTGGCCCACTTTGTTTCACTGAAGCAGATTTTATATTGAACAGTTGGGTGACCAAGTTGATTTTCAGTTCTTGTAAGATATTTCCATTCAAGTTGAATCTTATCTTTATTGCATTACATTAACAATCAGGTGGGAATACAGGAAATTGTATTAGCTGTAACATGTAACTAACACATTTGATTTTTCACAAATGTCTAACAAGACTGAAGAAATGAAGAGCTCCACCGGAGCAAAGGCCATTTGGAAACCATACGTTGTGTGTCCAGAAGCCTTGGTGTATTTGCTGTACTGCCCTTTTCTTCTCATTAAACACTCCAGCCGGAACACTGCTTTATGGATGATGGTACTATTGCCAGTGTGGATTTTAAGAAATTCGGAGTACAGTTCCTGTCTCATTGGCCCGTGCTGCCTGCTCTACTCCTGAGCAAAGTGGAGGGTGTAAAGGTGGTTTGTAAACCCCCCCCCCCCCCTCCTTTCGCCCTCCACAGGAACAGTTTACAGCAATGAGGGACCTGTACATGAAGAATGGGCAGGGCTTTGCTCTGGTCTACTCTATAACGGCACAGTCAACGTTCAATGACCTGCAGGACCTAAGGGAGCAGATCCTACGAGTAAAGGACACTGAAGATGTGAGTATCTCACCGGTCTCATGTTGTTTTCTGCAGGACAGATGCCTGGACACCTGTGAGCCCGTGGCTCTCTGTTTGGGAGTACAGAAACCTGCCTGTTCTCTTTGTATGTGTCCTGCCTTTAACTTTGTGTGAGCTGGTGCCCACAGCCTGTTAGCATGTGTGTCTGTGTGCGTGCAGCTGTGTTCCTCTTTATTCATTTATACCATCCTGTGTAACTGGGAAGCTCTACTCTGTTGTCTGAACCAGTACAGTGCATTGCCCCTCAGAAATGTTGTTCTTTAAAGCCAAACAATTAAAATGGTGCTTTGTTTACTTCTGGGTTTACAATTTCATAAAAAGAAAACAAATTTTCTTTGATTCAGGGTTCCCCCTGGAGTTTGATTTCAATTCTTCACTTTTCTTTGTATTTTTGCTTCCACTAATCAAATTCTTCACTTTTTTTCAGCATCCGTTTTTTTTAGTTACTCTCGCCGCTTCTTAATAAATTAATAATTAAACTCACTGAATATACATCTCTTCTGACAATCACACTGTGATTGGTCAACTAACGGCATGGGCGAGTCACGAGTCTACTTGATAAAGTTGGGAGAATCGTGAATACTGTGTAAAAATTTGCATGCTGGCGTGCTGAAAACATGATGTATAGTACGCATTTCGGAAATAATGTTCTAATTACTATATATATATATATATAAGCTAATACTTTCCGGGTGTTTCATAGTACCTTTGAGAGGGACATTCTAAAACGCTTAATGTGAAAACGCTTAATGTGGTTTTAATGTACCAAAATAGCGACCAATAATCACCAAATTTCGCACACACACAAAAAATCTAAACCGAAATACAAGGAATATAGACTTTATTTTACTTTAAGCCTTTTCCTTATAATGGGCGTCAATGGAGGGGAAAACGCTTAACATAGTATAAAGTCCTTATTCTTAGCATTTCGGTTTAGATTTCTTGTCAGGTGAAAGTGTTTATGACCAGATATATGTGTGAGAAATATAGTGATTTTTGGTGGCTGTCTTGGTACTTTAAGTTACATTAAGCCTTTTCCTTATAATGGGCGTCAATGGAGGGGAAAAAGCTTAACGTAAAATAAAGTACATATTCCTTGTATTTCCGTTTTGATTTTTTGTCAGGTGAAAGTCTTTATGACCAGATGTGTGTGTGCGAAATTTGGTGATTATTGGTCGCTATTTTGGTACATTAAACCACATTAAGCGTTTTCACATTAAGCGTTTTAGAATGTCCCCACACCGATCGATAACATTTGCTACTTTTAGAACGGCCCATGCTCATTTGACATGGATGATCGACGATCGTGTGTCCGGGGCGCCGGGCCAGTTTTGATTAGGCCCTACGAGTGCTACGGTTCAAAATTGGGAAAAAATGAAATTCGACTTTTCAAAAATTCAAAATTCGTCATTTGAAAATTGAATTCGCCAGAGTGACGATTTGATGCCGTTTTTCTTCGTCACCATGGGTTCCGTTTTCGTCAATGATGAGAGTGACGAGCGGCAGCGGGAACCCTGTTGATTGGCTTGTTGACCTTTGAGACGATGAAATGTCGCACACAAATTATCAGAAGTGTTTGACAGCCATAATGCTGAAACACAGAGCAACACAGTAGAAAATCAAAGCTTGTCATTTGGGGCATTACTGAGGGATTGGATGGTGCAGTGGTTATCACTGTTGTGTCACACCTCTGGGACCAGGGTTCGAGTCTCCATCCCGGCTCTGTGTAGAGCTGGCTTGTTCTCTGTGTTGTCCTGGAGTTTCCTCAAGGTTCTCCAGTTTTCTTCCAAAGTCCAAAAACATGCTGAGGTGAATTGGAGTTGCCAACTTGGCCATAGGTGTGAATGTATCTGTGTGCTTTGTGATGGGTTGGCTTCCTGCTCTAGCTTATTCCCTGCCTTGCGCCCTTAGCTTCTGGGATACTCTCCAGACCCCCTTGACCCTATATAGAACAAGTATTCACAGAAAATGGATGGACGGTGCAAGTCATTTATTTTTACCTAAATGCTTTTTCACCTAGTTTGCCAAGGGAACACAAGTGCTCGCAGTGAGCAGCTAATGGCCTGTTCATTAAACGATAGCCACTCTAAAGCGCTTTCGCTTACTCATTTACCCTTGATGGCCTCAGCTGATGTGTACCTACGTCTAGATCTGTGAGGCTGGGATACTACATTTCCTTGGCAGACTGCGAGCCGGAAATATTCTGCGTGTCTAGTGGCCTGAGAATCGGGAACATGTGATATGTCTGGCGGGGCATGAGGCGAGGTTCCTGAAGATGCCAGGTGGTCTGAGAGCCCAGAACACTTAATACTTCTGCCAGTTAATTGCTGAACTGTTTGGCAATGTTTAGTAATCTGAGAAACCAAATGTACTTTTCAGTCTGAGGCATTAATATTACCTGGGGGAAGACATCACTAATGGATTCACCCTGCAATACCACACACTTTCCATCACGCCCATCCCCAGAGAGTCATTGTCTTTATTTTTATTTTCTCTAAGCTGCTGATTGAAAGCAAAGACAACAAAATCATTAATCGTTGTCCTATTATCCAGAATTAAACCTGCATTATTTATGCTAAGTAAGTGTCTCAGAACTGCGTGGTTGTGGGTAGGGATCTGCATGGGTATGCATTTGGTTCCTCATTGGTGGTTGTGGGTAGGGATCTGATGTTCCTTTTGGTTCCTCATTGGTGGTTGTCTCCCAACCCTACATCCCACAGGTGCCTATGATCCTGGTAGGCAATAAGTGTGACCTGGAGGAGGAGCGCGTGGTAGGAAAGGAGCAGGGCCAGAACTTGGCCCGACAGTGGAACAACTGTGCCTTTTTAGAGACCTCGGCAAAGTCAAAGATCAATGTTAATGAGGTAGGAGTCTAAGGGGTCTACACTTGTCCAGGTTGCCACTTTCACCTCCACGTCCTCACTTGCATCTCCGTGCCCCTCACAGATCTTCTATGACCTGGTCAGACAGATAAATAGGAAAACGCCAGTGGAAAAGAAAAAAGCAAAGAGGAAGTCTAACTGCACAATCCTGTAGACCTGCCCCCTGCAGCAGCTCTGAGCCAGGTGAGAGACATCACGAGGGGATGTGCTGCCTCCCGCAGGCTGTAAGGGGCATTGCAGTGCCAGGCGGCCGTCAGCTCATTTCAAAAGGATGGTGGGGCATATATTATGGAAATAATTGTGGTCCGTGCGCAGATCTTCATATAGATTACATGTGAAGTTAGGTTTTTTCATTTTAGGTCCAGGGTCCTTTTCATGATCTCCATTGCTGTACCCCGAGCTTGTTTTGGCTCTTAAGCATAGTTTGGTTTGTAAATGTGTGGGGGGGGAAACTGTAACCTCAGAAGCTTAGCCAGCAGTAGTGGTGTGGCGTACGTTTCACCAAAGCTATGTAAATGATGTTCTCCCCTTTTTTTTTTTTTTGTCTCTCTCGCTTCCCACAGAATGCTGTAATGACGAACTGTTGCCCAATCAGAATGCCAGCATTTCAGTCCTCAACAATGACGTGTGTGTTAAAGCGACACCAAGAGCAGGTCGCTCTCCTTCCATAACCCACAAAGAGAGAAGGATCGGCATATCTCAGACTCCTCTCTGCTTTTATATCCTACAACAACGTGAAGAATTGTTTTTGGGGTGTTCCTTTTTTTAATGTCCCACCTCCCCAAAGGTCCCCTCCAACAGCAGAACATCGTAATCACTGTAATGGCTCCTCATAATTGTCCCCAGATGCTCCAGATCTCTGGAAAATGCACACAAGACTGCAGTATTTTTCATCTTGGCAATAGCTTATTTGAAGACATTGACATTGTGCTAAACACCTAATCTTAAAATGACATGGACTCAATTCAAATCAGTCTAATTGTTGCAAGTGAAATCAAGTGGAAATCAGCCTTTTTATAACCATGCACCCATCTTTCTGCACTAATTATGTTGGCAGTAATAGATTTATGTCCATGTGCCCTTACAGGGACATCTGCAAATAACATCTGTTTTATAATTTGCATCACCAGCTTTCATATTTTCCCCATAATATATTCCAGGTCCAGTTTTTGTTTGCATAATGATGCTTTGAAAAAGTTCTTTTTATAGAAGGACATTGGGAAAATAGTAAGTTGATTTCTATGTCTCTTGAAGCTAAATATATTATACTAAACCAACTCTAATATTGCTTCTTGTGTTTTCCTGTCACAAAATAATTTTGAGCTTTTATGAATGATTAAATTTTAGTACATTTTCATTATTTTTGGTCATGTTTTTTGTTTTTATTTGCATTAACTGTCACATTTATCAGGACAGATTTGCTTCATTAGGTCTGAGATCTTTCTGCTCAATCGGTAAAGAGTTTGGATTTAAACTGTTTATACAATTATCGGTTCCACATGAGTGAGATATGTTGACTTTTACAGTCCATTAGTGGTGTTACGATATTTATTTTCTCCTGGAATTTTATGTGGTTTTGTAAATTTGATGCATGAAGTTTGTTCGTTGGCCACTAGGTGGCAGGGCAAATTTGGAAATGGGTTGATAAGCTAAAATACAATGTTGATTCCCTTGACTTGAAGATGTAAAGTAATTGAGTGTTGACTTTAGTCTCCATTTGAGTAAAGGCAATATTTTGAATGAACTGGTCCAAAAGCAACATTTAATACGTCGATATCGCTGTGATTTTACACTAATACTAAACTGGAAAGTTACCACCTTGCAGTATGATTCTAAACGTATTTTATTAACTCAAGAAATGCACTGCCAATTCGTACTATGTAATTACATAATTTTATGCTAAAAATGATCTCACTATACCATGTGAACTTCTGAGTATTCATACAGGCTAATGGTGAATTTAACAGTATTGTAGGAATTCACATCTATAACATGGAAGACAGATATGTCATATTGTCCATAATCCATACTCCATAATGACATGTTCAGGTACCAGAAGGGGAACAAAAGTATTTTCCTCAACATAGATTTCATGAATTTTACATGAAAGTTGCAGTACTTGAAGCATGTTACATGCTCCACCTGTATCATAACAGTGCTGTCATTTGTATGAGAAGTTTGAATTGGGGAATGGAATGGTGCTACACTGGAGTCTCGAACCTGGGCAGCTCTCTGGTGAATTTGTATAAAGATGTGAATGAGATCCTGCTATCTGTTGCACTCATCTGCAGACACTTTGTGCTGCTGTTTTGCCCTGGACATGTCCCTAGCGGACTCTTCGACAGACTATGATGGATTTCAGAAAGTCTAGCAGTCACCTGAACTTGCCTTTTAATGATACCCAAGTTGATCAACTTGAATAAGTTCCTGATGTTTTAATGGTAGTTCCTGGCAAAGGCATCTGTCGTACAAATTCTGTTTGACTTCAAACATCTCTGAAGTCCTTCCTTAAAGCCATTGGTTTTATAGTAACTGCTGAATGGCAGCATTCACAGAGTAAAGTGGTACAAAATGCCTGTTGTCAACAGATCCTTTCCAAAGTCTGCTGTTCTAATAAAACTCAAGAAAACCCCAAATATTCTTTTATTTGAACCCTCAGTTATAAGGATCACTTGTATACTGGATGTTCTAATTTGCATGTTTGTGTTACATGGTATGAGTTTCAGCTGAGTGACACTGTGTGTAGAGCATGCGATGAAGCTCTTTCACTGTCCGGGGCAGAGTTGTATGTGCCCAGAGATCACAACACAGCCTGCGCTCCATGGAACAAACCTTTTATTTACCCTGTGACATCTGCGTGATGGCAGGCATCCATAAACCTGAATGCCATGGTACGCATATGAGGGAGGGGCCAAAAAGGAACTGTAATAGTACAGAATTTAGTGCCGGTCACTGGTTACTGTCAGCAAATTGGAGAATATTTTGTCATTCTCTATTCACAATTGTTTTTACTGTCAAATACTCCTTTTTAACAGTACAGATGCAACCAGTGATGTGTATCTTACAATTAGTGCACAAAATTGATTTTGTGACCATACCTGCTGAGTTTTTGAATAACAGGAAGAATTTTTCTGTGTGTTCTATTTTTCTTTTTCAAGTTTTAACCTTTTATGAATTGCATCGCTTGCTGCCAAGTCCTGGGCTGCATAAATAATAAATGATTAGTGGTTTTCTTAACCCAGAAGCCTCTGGATCATCGTTTGAATGTATGATGTTGAAAACCCCGTTTTAAGGTGTGCAGCCTCTAAAGCACGGCTATGCAGCTCACAGTCCTCAAGGTCCGAGCCCTGCTATTTTTCCAGCCTTTCCTTCACCTGTGAGCCTGGTGTGAAGCCTCTGGCCAATCAGAATCCATATTTATTAAGCTACCTAGGAGAACTGAAAACCCGGCCTGTATTTGGAATGGAGGTCCAGAGTTGAATAGCCCTGCTCTAAAGGCAACGAAGAGGTTCAGCCCCTGATGACAGGTGTGGTGTTCAATGCATGAACTTCCCATGAGCAATTCTCTTCAAAGGTCCATGACATAATTCAGTGGCCAGCTTGGGTTTCCGTGCATCTGCATGCCAGTATTTCATTACAAGTCACACAGTACAATCTGCTATACAGTTATGCATTTCAGTTGAATCACTTTGTTTTTGTCACAACACGGAGACCTGCAACGCCTTGTACATTTTTTTAGAATTAAAAAACACCTATAAAATATACACATACAGACACTCAAAATTATGTAAAACTCAAAACTGGTATGACTGACCTACCCTGTGTGTGTGTGTGTGCGCGCGCGCACACACACACACGCACACACACACACAGGGTAGGTCAGTCATACCAGTATATATCAGTATATATGTGTGTGTGTGTGTGTATATATATATATATATATATATATATATATATTTCTTATTCCATCTGAATCTTAGGAAGAGTCCGAAATGGTTAATTAATTGGAAAAATTACATAATTTCACGTATCCATCTGCAAGTCTCAAGAAGTGCTAATTTGTCAGTAAGATTTGTTTTTTTTTTTCTGCATTATGAGGGTGTAATTTGTAATATGATGTTTACTGCTCAGTTACATCACATGCAACAGCTGTATGTTATTCACTTGTTTCCCATTTAATTGTTAATTGCTTGATTGGGCAGGGAATCACATATTGCCTGCACCCGTTCCCCCCCCCGATTTCATGCTTTTATTAAATGCAGGAGTGTGAGCACCCTGAAGGATGGCTCTTTTTGCTTGTACGTAATTTTGGCATTTGTGTCTGGTTTTATTTTTTATTATTAAATGTAAAACCAAACTCGCCATGCGCTTTTGCTTATTTTTCCAGATTTTTTCCCCCCCAAGCTTATAATAGGTTACTGGCATGATCCAGCTGAAAAACACTTCAGTTTTTGAGCTGCAGTCCTTTTTGAGCTGCCATGGTCCACAAGTTTCATTTGAAGTTGCACTGATGCTGTGGCATGTTGATCATCCATCAAAGCTGCTCTGACCTCCTTCAGGCTAAAGGTTTGCTCTGGGTCCTTACAGCTCCCTGCACTGGATTCCTTAACCTCGCATTATTTCTGGGGTTCTTCTAATGTTCGCAAAGTATTTTGAAATTTCTGTTTTTGACAGATGTGACATAATTTAAACCAAACCCAATATCAATGCATTTGTCACAATACCTGTGAAAGGATGATGCTTGTATACAGCAGCAAAACAGCTGGTCTGTACATTCATGACTGGAGACCAGGGTTATAGAAGCGTGGATGTATAAGTGTTTATGATAGTTACCCATAGTTGGGAGCAGCGTGCTTCTGCAGTGAAAGGCATTTCACGACTATGCCTTTGGAGTGATGTCATTTGTAATAATGTCCACCCAAGTTTCTGTTCCACTGGGGTGTCCCTGACTAATGAAAGGAAGTGAGGGGGGCTACTTCACGCTCCAGTGAGTTCCTGGTCACCTTCCCCACCCAGTATGGGGGGGTGAAAGGTGTGGATGGCATCTTTGATGGAGGACACTCGAAACAACACACCTTACAAAAAAAAGTTTCAAATATGAAGTGGGTCATTGGCATGTAGCTGGATGACAGGGAGACTGGATTAGTGCTCGGCAACCAACGGCACAAGATAAACTCATGGTTTTTTTTTTGTCTCTGCCCCCCATTGCAATATTTTGACCATAGTGCTGGGTTTGCTTTGGGATAGTAGTGAGTGACGGCGTCTCCCCTACTGTCCATTATTGACAATATTCTAATCCGTGCTGTAACTTTGACCCAATCTCTGTACCAAACAATTTCAAATACATCCTCAATTTGCAAGGCACGCTAGGTCCGAACACACCACAAGTGCTGGGCACATGTCACCCACACTCCCATGCCTCATGCTTAGAACATAGAACATCAAGGGAATTAGTTATGAAGTTGAGTTATTGCCTTTGCTGACAAACTAGGCACTGATGAAACGGCTATTCAAAAGACACGATTGAAAAATGAGTTGTGATTCTGAGGTCATAAATGATGCTCTGTGAGTACATGGTGGAATAACCTAGGCAAGAAAATGAAGAAAACTAACATATTTCTCATTTGATATTATTAGATCAAATAAACTAAATGTCCCCTGCCTCGTCCCCTGAGCTTCCTAGGTTAGACTGTGTTTCCAGCACATGGACTGCAAGCCGCCAGTCGCCCTCTAAACACTTCATAGAAATCAGATCAATTTTTTATATGTGTGTCTTGGGTATTTAACTCTGTCGTGGATTATGAGCTCCGTGCTGGATGTGAAAGGACAATTATTTATTTTATTTATTTATTTTTATTAATTTTGATGTCGCTACCCTGGTTGATATACTGTTGTATCACACAAGTATTGTAGCTCCTCAGATTATTTTCTTTGTAAAAGCAGCTCACAGTGTAAATAAGGTTGGAGACCATGACTCCAAGGTTCACCGCACCCCTGTACTGGATAAATTGTTGGAAAATGGATGGATGGACTCAAGCTGTGTTATTATGATAATTGAGATTAGCATTTGACACAAAGAAGAGCCTACCTCAACTGCATATTACTTACAGTGACTTGAATGTTTATTTCTCTGGACAGAGTGTTTCAGTGGGTATAGCTGCATACTCATTGTAGCTAAGCTGTTGGTTTAATTACAGCCTGATCTTTGTTTTAGGAGTCTGCATCTGCTCCCTGTTTCACACAGGTTTTCTCTCGCAATCCAAATACAAGCTGGTCCTTTGTGACGTTGTTGGTCCTGTTTTTGGGTATAACTGGTGTTATCTGGGGTAGCCTTCAGCATCACTGTGACCCTAAAACACATGACCAGTTCTGAGAATGACTGAATGGAAAAAAACGAGCTAAAGCATCTTGCAAGCAGGATGACTCAGAAGACGAAAGGCCAGGCAGACGTGACCTGGTGCTAAGGATAAGAGACAGAAGGGTGGCAAGTTTACTCAATGGGAGGAAGCTACCTGGGTGATCCTGCCAGCACCATATGGCTGTCTTAGAGATTAAGTCATGCATGTCTACCCACAGCTGGATCAGGGAGCAGGTTGTTCGTTTAAGGTTGCTTGTGTCCTCATGTGCTGTCGGAGAAATATCATTCTAACACCATATGGATCTTCTTAAATGTCGGATGTAATATCACATCTGTATAATTAAAAATCCGATAAGGGGTGGCCTGGAGGATTGTTGGATCATATGATGAGGATGTAAACTGCACTACATGTTTTTTATTTTTACCCAAATTAACAAAACTTTTATCATGAAGAAGATGATGTATTAATTAAATACACCTGTATTTACGAAAAAGTCTACCGGTATCTTACACTCTGTTGTTATGACTAAATTTGAATTTTAGGTGTTTCACTTGGGTGGCACAGTGATTGGTGCTTTGAGACTCCGCCCAGGCTCTGCGTATGTGGAGTTTGCACGTTCTCCCCGTGTCATTGTGGGGTTTCCTCCAGGTTCTCTGGTTTCTCACCACAGTCTAACAACATACTGAGGTTAATTGGAGATGTCCTGAATGTCCATAGATGTGAGTGTGTCCTGCAATGGGTTGGCGTCATTAGGTCCGATGTCGATCGGAAACATGTCAAGAACCAGGTAAACATGACTTAGCCCTGGATCTTTTCAATAGCTAGAAACTGCCCTGATTGACGCCCTGTTCCCTGCCTTGCACCTGTAGCTTCTGGGATAGCAGAAGCAGGTATATAAAATAGATGGATGGTTGGGGGGGTAGTTCAGTATTAGTGATTTAGTGGCCGACCTAAGATGAAATGATCACGCAACACGCCTTCAAATCAATCCTCATTAGGGTTGCCACTCTAAATCTAAAGAAGAGAGGGAGGCCTGTACTGGTTCAGAACAGAAGACAGCATTTTATTTTTCAAAATGGGATGATCCCGTAATATATGGGATGGGTGGCAACTCTACTGCTCACATTTCCGAAAAGACTTAACTGCACAACAGCATTGACGTGTCCCTTTTGCACGATAACAAAAATTGGTACAAAAAAATAATGTTCTTATTTACAGTATGTACATGGGATTAGCTACAATCAACAGCATTCTGTAATATACAGGATGGGTGGCAACTCTAATCCTCACGTTTTCCAAAAGACTGAATTGCATAAATGCACTTACCTGTACATGTTCCTATTGCATACAAATGCACACACACACACACACAAAATTGGAACAAAAAAAAAAGAACATTCTTATTTACAGTATATACATGGCATTAGCTCCAGTCAACAAGTAATGTATATATAAATCAAAGTCTTTTTAAATAGAACTCTTGGCTCTTTCAGTTAAAATACTTCAATGCCTTGTCCACAGACCAACATGGAATATTGAGTATTGCAAGTGAGTTCAACCTAATGGTGCTATTTTGCACAATTGCACAATATTTTGACAGTCATTTTTGAACTGTCACACTTATCTTGGTTTCACATGAAAATTTTTCTTGCTTTCTTGCCTCTCAGAATCCATGCACTCTGATATTGTTTGGAGTACATGGAATTTTAATGCACACTTTAAAATCCTTCCCCTTTAACTTCTTTACACAGCGTGTAGTTAGAGTATGGAATAGTCTTCCTGCTAGTGTAGTGGAAGCTAAAACCATGGGTTCCTTTATATCAGAGCTAGATAAGATTTTAACAACTCTGAGCTATTAGTTAAGTTCTCCCCAAACGAGCTTGATGGGCCGAATGGCCTCCTCTCGTTTGTAAATTTCTTATGTTCTTATGTTCTTAGGTAAATGGCATTAAAAATATATTTTATGTAACATGAATGTTAAGGTGTTTTTTTTTGTTTTGTCTTAAATAAACCTCCACTGGTGGGATTTCTATATCTGGTTCAGAGCAACAGAGCCACTTTCTGCAAGGTAAGTGTAGTGATAGTGAGAGTTAAGAAAACTCAGAGTTTTAGATATATAACTTGTCTTTTGCAACACATACATTTAAGTATCAAACCTAAACAGTATAGAAACTCTAACAGTAAATGCAAGTAAATCATGCAGTAAATTCTCATGTTTTGAGGATTTCAAGGGGCAGGATTTTAAAGTGTGCATTAAAATTCCATGTACTCCAAACAATATCAGAGTGCATGGATTCTGAGAGGCAAGAAAGCAAGAAAAACAAGAAAAATGGATAATAGGGTTCATCATGTTAGACTCCGTCCTGAATGTAAATTTAAAAAGCTTTTCCTGAACAGGGAGTTGTGTTTGCACTTAGTGCAGCAATGTAAGTGATGTATTAAAGAAGATTTAACAAAGGAAAATGGTCTCATAATGCCTGCAATGTCATTTCAAAAGCAATAGACTGTTTCGGACACACTAGAGATGTATCCTCCTTAGATTCAGTTTCACATTCCTAAAAGAAAAACATCTTTTGTGTCATTAATACTTTGGGTAATGTACTTCCTTTGAGAAGAGTATTATGTATAATGCTATAGTTAAAAGAGTTGGTTTCTACCAGACTGCCTTGTTATTATGTAAGAGTCTGACAAGTGGTATTATGAAGGAGGACAAGGGGGACTATAGTGAGGAGAGCTCAGTTAGGAACAACCTTTTATTTATTTCCATCTGTTACCATGAAACCATGTGAACAACCCATTCACAGACTGTATTTGGTAACCAGACAATGGATGACATACAGTCTGTGTATGAGATCCTGATTTTAGTGAGTAAATGCATGGATAAATCATTATCCAGAATTTTGTCAGAACAAAACCATATGTATGAATCAAGTCATAGTCAGTTTTACTAAATAATAAGGTTGTGGGGAGCCTGTACTGGATGAAGTATAGAAGAGGGATGAATAGATGGATTAATATTCATAAGCCATTAAAAAACACATATCGTACCCAGCATAGAAAAAGTTTCACCTTATATTTAATGGTTCCTATTTTAATGCTTCATTGGTAGTCCTTAATTAGCAGGGCATGACAACACTAATCAGAGCAAGTGGCTGCTTATGATCAGTGACTTACCCTGAGTTCCAGTCTCCCCAGCAGGCCTGCGGAGGTGCGATATGGAGTCGAGGGGAGCTTGTCTGCTCTTATTCCATCACGCAGGTTCTTTGCCTTTCCCTGCTGACTAAACTGAGACCTTTGGGAAGTGGGAATAAAAACAGAAATAGTAAATGCATGTGTTTTTAGATTATGATTGTTTTTTCCATTTTATAATTCACTGTCAAATTAAAGGAAACATGAATGTAATGGGTCTCTTTAGTCTTCAAGAACATGCAAGATGCAGAGTCAATGTCCCATGTTGTGTCTATCTGGACACGTCAAATAATATTCTTTTCCATCAATCCTATGCAGTGAGATTGGTTTAGGGCTCACCCATGCATTCCTCTGTACTCTCCATTCCTCAGTCCTAGTGAGGAATTATTTCTGCCCGGAGAAGGAAGTAATGTGTCCTTACGATCACCGTCTTTATGATGAGATTCTGCCGCTGGATGCCACAGCTGAGGCATGTAGGGCAGTCGCAGCATCAGACTGCCAGGGCTGGATCAAACACGCCCAGACGTATTTCCCACACTGCATTGTGGGGGACGGAATTGCATGTGATGTTGATGAGAACATGTGGCCTGATACCTGGGATTGGACTCAAAAGCAATGAAGCAAAAAAGCACAACAAACTTTGTATTTGGGTAATTGTGTATAATTTCTTGGTTTCCTGAAATTAATAACTTAGTTGTATTGTAGTGATCTGTTCTGTATACTGTAGCATCCATTGCAACTGGTCATAAATTCACATTCTTACTTCTCACTCTGTTGAACCATCTGTGTATGTACTGTATGTACTTGAATTTGTTTTGATTGGCAGGAAGGGTTTTGCTGCAATAATGGGGAGTTTTCAAATTATGTAAAATTGTGACAGTATGTTGTAAATATGTTGACTGTTTTGAGAATGTGGCTACTGTTTTGACCACTTACCAAATCTGCCTATATATACACACTATTAGGATTAAGGGCCTCACTGAAGGGCCCAATGATATTAACCCCTCCAAGGCCTCCATAGCCATTGGATTTGAATGTCTGAGCTGCCAATCAAATGCACAGTGTCTGACCACACCCAGCCACAACCATGTTTCTTGCTAAATGCAGCACTAGTAACAGGGATGAAGAAGAAAGAATGCAAATAAGCTTTCAGTTTTACTTTCAAAATTTATTCAAAGTGGAATGAAGTTTTCAGATGCAAAGAACCAACGAGACCAATTTCTGCAGCAATGATGGTTTACATGTCAATAAAGAAGCATATTCGAACCGTAGATTTTCACATGCATTTGTTAGATGGAAAAATCGGCACAAGTACATAGATCTTTAAAAAAAACTGCTACCCCATTTTCACTTTCACAGTTAGCACATATAAAGTTGATGATTTAGAAGGAATATGCAGATCAGTGAAGTCTATTGATGACCCTTTTCATTTTGTTTTCCTTAGCTTGTGGAATTAAGTGGAATTAAGCACCCAATGCCCATGTGAGGCTCAAAGGAAAGGGGAAGATTTACAATTGCACTAGTAGAAGAAAAGAAACCATCAGTTTCAGAATCTCGGGAATTTTTGCCTAATATATAAAAGGCACTGCCAAATTAAGTATGTATTTACAGTTATTTAATGTAATAAATTACATAATACCACCTTGAATAGTATTACCTTCACGTAAGCCCAGTGATAACAGTACTTCATTCAGAGTTTGAAAGGGCCAAGCAAAGTGATGTATGCCCTGTGCTGGCTGGGATAGGCTCCTGGGGCCCAGTGATTCCTCCCCCGTAACAGGGACAGAGCTGGCCACTTTGCCTGGAGGCCGTAGTTACGCAGCTTGTTCCTGAGGCATTCATTACGTCCACCGGGGCGCCAGTCTGCTGGTGGGGGCACACAGCTCTAAGGCACTGGCAGGGCTGTTACAATGAAATCTGCAGAGGAAACGTGTGCTGTCCTTACCTTAATCAGGCCTGACTGCATATGTACTCTTCAGCACTTTAATATAATATAATGTGTGCTTTGGCTTCATATTAGTGGTAGATTTTCAACATCAGTGTGAAACTAGAGAAGAATTTATGAAAGTTTATGTTTACATAAACAATTACTGATTCACAAGCATATAAGAGGTATGAACACATACAGTACAAGATTTCATCTTGAATCCTAAATTAGCTTCCCTAGCAAAAAATGAACAAGAGAACAGGAATAATTTACTGAAAAAGCCCAATCACTGTGCCAGCTCCTCCTTTGCAGTCTACCCTCAGCTTCTGCATGCATGAGCTCAGTGCTGACTGCCTATCAGTTGATGTCAATGTTCTCTTCCAAGGTGCTCCTCACATTGTAAACAACCCCAGGTTTCACCCAGGGTGGGTCATCTATTCATTTATATCTCTGGTCATTTAAGAGAATGAGCAGAGGTGGAAACTCCAGGCTCAGAAAGTATAAATCCAGACCAAGATTTTGTTTCAACCAACCAGTTGAGTATAAAGAGTAACATTTGCAGAGTACTCAACTGGTTGGCTAAAATGAAATCTTGGTCTGGATTTTTACTTTCTGGACCGGATCTTTCCATCTCTGAGAATGACAATACTTCCTCCTGCTGTCATCTAGATGTCACACTGATGCACTTTGATGCATGTTGTGTATTACGACATGCTCCAAAGCAGCTGCTGTGAAAAGTAAGTTTGTATAATAGTTTAGAAGACAGCCCATCTTTGTGGGTGACAGAGTTTGTTGAACAACATGTTGTGGAGCATTCTAGCTCTTGCACTGGACTCCCATTACCTAGGTGATGAACTACAATTCCCATGAGTACATGAGATTCACGATTATACCCTAATAATAAATCTAATACTAACCATATGTATAACAAGGCAAAGTCATTGGACTTGATTGCATACCCAAGTCCTGCTTATTCCATACACTGCTCCATACAAAATGGTAGGATGACAATGGCATTTCCAACAGTTCCATATCACCCCATGCTAAGCCAGCGACAATTTTCCACTAAATGAATTCTACACTGTTGGCAGAAAGGCTGTGGAAATAATCGGAGGTGCCATAAAAAGTGGACTGAATGACTGCCAAAAGTAAGGTGGGGGTGGTGATGAATATTCAATGTGACTAATGTGAAATTAGTTAAATCACTTAAATTAACTGGCAGGTGTAAGACTCCCCATCAGCATCCATAAACTTCAATCTCTTCAAGGACGGCATGGGAACATTTTGTTACTAGAGCAAATTATGCATTATCATTGATAACGGATCAATGTGAATAGTGCGAACAATTATAGAAGTGTGGCCCTCAGAGAGCAAAAAATGGAACCTCATCAGACCCAGACAACTGTGCTGTAATCAAACCCAGGCTGGACCTGCCCTGCAATTTCTGGCTGCCTCCCATTAGTGTACATTCCTGTTGTCTGGCTTGTCCCCTCCAATCTCCCCAATATGTTCTTCCCTTGCTGTCCAGATGAACCAGAGCGAAAGGGAAGATAGAATGTCCCCTTAAGCTTATTAACTTTCTTGGGTCTCTTGAGAAGTTCCGCCTCAGGGTTGTCCAGAGGCATCCAGCCAGGTTTCTCCTTCAAAAGCTTGTCTTTGTCAGGTCTCACACTGCGCAAGAACTTCTTGAAGACGTTGGTGGTGAGGGAGAATCGCCGGTAGATCTCCTGAGAGCGGCTGAGTGGCAGAGGGGGAGCTGGCTCTTCCTCTTCTTCCTCCTTTTCAGCCAGTGCCCGCTTGCCCAGCTCTGGCAGGTCTAGCCAGTTGCCCACCAGGTCAGCAAAGACATTGTCACCTAGGACTAGTGGCTGTCGGTTGCGTCCACAGCTCATGAGTGTGGAGGTCCAGTCAGTTGAGTCATCAGTGCTGCTCACATTAGAGTCACTCTCCAGTGACTGCGCAGTCTGATGGAGGGTTTGTGGGTTTCTTGGATAATCCACAGCGTGAGTTAGCTCAGGTGTGCTCCAGGACACCGTTCCTTGAGAGACTGGGAGTGAGCAATGGCTGTTGTCCTGCGAACACATACTTTCTCCAAGTAACCTTTTTGGGAGTGACTGGTGGCATGAAGCAGAGGACATCTTTCCTGGACTGCTCCTATGCAGAGGCTGGTCTCGTCCTTGAGATAAACTGACCTGAGGCTGGCATGGCTTTGGGGGCGGGGTACCAGGGTGGCTCAGTGGAGGAGAGTAGAACATCCGATTATTTGGTAAAGGTGAATGACTTGGCTTTCCTGAGATTTCCAGCTGTTCCAGTACAGTCTGCAGCTGCAAAACTTTGAGTTCCTGTAGTGCGCCCATCATGGAATTCATCTGAGCATGGAGTCCATCTCCAGCCTCCCGCATAGACAGCTATGTGAAGAAGGAAGAGGAGTTATTCTACATGAATAGTTTTCAAACTTTCAAGCACAATATCAGGCCTGCATAAAAGGTACCGTTAGCAGTCAGAGTTATGGTGTTGCTGAGAAATATCACAAATGTGTTTCTGACTCAGCTGCCATAGTTTTTGAAGGATGACATTTTTAATTCAACTCTGAGAAATTCTTTCACTCGTGAACGTGAGAAACTGTTCAAAACACTTATCTCATGAGTTTTTATGCTGTTTGAAACATTCAACACTAAAATCCTTGCTGATCAAGGACGCTGGCTCTCCTTCTGATCTTCCACTCAGTGATCAGTGCCTCGTTCCCTTCCACCATAATCCCTCTCCCAGGGTGGTCTGCTTGGTGTCTGTCAATGATCATCTATTAAAGACCACTTCAATACCAGGGTGAGGAATTTTTCTGTATTTTAGGTTCATTCAAGTACAACAAATCAAGTCAAGTCAAGTCGGTCTTTAATGTCATTTGTAACCACACCACACAGTACAGTACACAGTTAAAAATGAAACAGTGATTCTCTCGGACTAAGATGCTGCATATATTAACACAAAACTAACACAATACAACCTAGAGAGTAGAGTGCATAGTGTGCAATCTGTGCAAATGTACCCATCGGTGGCACAACTGGAATTTATTGGCTGTAGTCTTCTCATGGTGTAAGTACAAGAGGGGATATTTATGATACTCAAAGTCTGCAATAGGTGTAAAGCTCCATTGATTATTGTGACACTGGACAATCAGCCATTTTCCATAGTGGGGAACAAGGGGTTTTGTTAGCTCATTCACCACTAGCAGTAGGGTTGCCACCCCCCAAGCCCCCCAGCAAAGTACTGGCCTGCCACACATTTATAATGCATTATTGAATCTGGCCCACAGATCGATCTTTAATTTTACACACCAAATAAAAAATGATGTAATGTCATTCTCTGCGACCTCCCCAGTCATGTAGCTCTTCCTTTAATGTTTCACTTTTTTCTGTACAGTTCAGTAGTTGGCCTTTGACAACTAATTCTCATTAAATTCCCATGGCAATATATGTGATTTTTTTCTGTTAAGTTAAAAAAGGTTTTAATTTAGACTATCAAAATAATTGAATAATCAAATCACATCATGACAGTAATTAAGTATTTCCAATGCATTGAATCATTCCTTCAATAACCATAATTGAATCCACTTGCTTGGGGCCAGCGATTTACACCGCTAGTCTGCAATAATTCCATGATCTCAAAGATTTTGATCATCTTACTGCATTGGTCTATTTGGACCTCAAGTCGAATACTTGAGCATAAGGAGTTCAATGAAGCTCAGCACTCATAACACATCCGTTATAATAACAGATACTTTATTGACCCCCATATGGAAACTCTCTTTACATTTCCTCCAATTTGGTCTTTGTAGGTGAGAGCAAGCTGACCCCAAATGACAGCCACCCATAGCAGCACCCAGGGAGCTGGGGGATAAGGACCTTGTTCAAGAACCCACAGATGTGCCAAGGCCAGGATCAAACCAGCAACCTTCAGATCACAGGCCCAGAGGTTCAAACCAGCAACCTTCAGATCACAGGCCCAGAGGCTCAAACCAGCAACCTTCAGATCACAGGCCCAGAGGCTCAAACCAGCAACCTTCAGATCATAGGCCCAAAGCCCACTGAGCCACAAGCTTAGGTTACTCATTTATAGCTTTTATATTTCTTCCTTTTTATATTTATTCCTGTCCTTGCTTCCTCACATCATGTTCATTACACGTCATACAACTTACTCTCACCAAGGCCGTCTGACCCCCGGCTCCAGGAGTGTACAAAGACCTTAGATAAAGGGCCTGCTTCCCTCAGTGGGGGCAGAGACAGACACACTGAACTGGCCATGTGTGAACATCTTTCTATAACATCTGTCTTAATGAACTGCTTAAGGAACCTGCCTCATCATTCAACACTAAAAGAGCCTTAGGTTTCACTGAAGAAATCTATCACCCCATAGTAACTGCTGGAGATGACAGGGATTGAACCCAGGGCCTCATACATGCAAAGCACATGTTCTGCCACTGGGCTACATCCCCTAACTCTATGTCTGTATTCCAGTTCTAGTTCTGATATAGTATATAATACTTATATAATGTTCTTGTGGGCCATGATAACAAGCCACTTGAAATTGGATCTGTGTGAGAATGAGAACTTGGCTCTTCGGGGATGAAATGAAATCGGGATTTACTGTGATTAAATCCCCAGCCCGACCCACTAACTTCTTCATTGCTAAGTGATTCCCTCAGAGTTCCTCAGATGAATCATAGCTGTTTATAGAGTACTAGCATTTTGACATTTTGCCTTTTCTGATCTTTGGAATATAATTTTGGGCAGTGCCTGCTCAGTGGGGTTTGGGATCTGTGCCCATGTTCGAAAAGATTTGGGTTTGAACCCCACAGCTGGCAGAGTAATCATATCACTGTAGAGCCGGTGAGCACGGCCCTTAACAACTGCTGCAGTGCTGGCTGACCCTGCAGTCTCATGCCAAACTTTCCTCACTTGTACATCTTCTTGGACAAAAGTGCCTGCTAGAGAAATGTACTTAATTAATTTAAAATGCACTACTTTGAATACCAAGTTGAATAGAACAATTTGTCCACTGTGCAGATATGTGATATGGCATGACAAACAAATATGACATGAGGCTCAGTGGCCTAAGCTTCTGTGCCCGTGATTGGAAGGTTGCCAGTCCAGGCCCAGCCTTGGCACATCTGTGGGTCCTTCAGGACGACCCCCAGCTCCCCGGGTGCTGCTATGGGCGGCTTCCCTTTGGCAGCAAGCTTGTTCTCACCTACCGAGAGCAAGATGGGGTAAACAAAAAGAGAATTTCCCCCTGGCGATCAATAAAGTATCATTTCATTACATTACTCCAGATCTTCTTTGTGACTGTGGTAACTCTGCATCGGGAACGTGCAATGTAGTCTGCTGTCTTAGATTTATTTTTTCAAATTTCGCTTTTACCAATATTTTGAACAATTTACCAATGTTTATCTTCCACAACTTTTTCCTTGTTACCAGTTTTATGTTACTATTTTTTTACTGACTCTAATGTTTATGCAACTCTGCTCCTGCTGTTTCTATGCCAAATTGTTTATATTCATGTGTATTTATGTATCAGGAACTTTTGCCCGAGTGACATATAAGTGAAGCAGGTAAAACACCACAAGCTTATAACTATCAAGGAGGCTGAGTTTCCAGTGAGTGGCCAGTAACGAGTGCAAGACAGCATTCAAACAAGAGCTCTAGAAAACGCTACCAGAAATAAACATCAGAAAAACCAAAAGTAACTAAGAGAATCTAGTAGTGGTCTGCAATTATTGTAAACAGTGATCATAAATGGTAAATGCAAAGCCCAAAGGTAGCTCTGAAGACAAGGCATCTACCACTATCTACCACCATCTACCACTATCTACCACTATGTACCACCACCTCTAATTATTCTGCACATACATTTGCACTTCTCTTGCCTTGTGATTCCCTCTGTAGTCGTACAACTTATTCACAATTAGCTGAGCCAAGTGATTCACCTGTGTCTGTGCTGCAGAACCCCAAGTCAACTTGCTGGACTATTTCAGCAGAAATTGCTGATCTCATAAACAACACTTGTTACTGATTTACCTGAGTTACTTTTTCACCAGGAGCCCACCTCCCTACTGGCATCCGTCTCCATCTCCGTTTCCTTTATCCAAATCTTCCTGTCACCCCCTATATACTGTAGCTGTTTTATGAGCTCTATGCATTGACTGGCTGCCCGTTAGGTAGCAACAGCTTTGGTTGACTAATGGACACCTGCAACCCCAAGCAGATGAACACAATTAATATGACACATCATTTGACATTGACCAGGAGACACCTAATAGAGCTGTTGAGCTGTTTGAAGCGTTGATTCAGTTGTAGGATTGTCTCTGAGATGAACTGGAAGAGTCATTAAACCACCACAGATGTTAAAGATAGAAGAAACCTCTTTTCTTAGGAAGATTGTAAGCAATGTAGTCTTCAGGAAAGCATGAAATTGACTGGACTGTTACTCTCTGAATGTATTTGGATAAAAATCTGAAATTGGACTGATTCTACCATATATATGCAAATATCAGAGCTAAGGAAGTGCAGGCTTTGATGTCACCATTCTTTACTGAGTGAATATAGTCACTGTTGTTTCATTTTTCTCCACACGTCAACGTTTCCATCATTCTCATAGATATTTCTTTTTTCATCTGTCCACAAAGTCTTCTTTAAGACCTGGGGTTTCTCTTGCTATTTATTTGCTCATTTTAATCTGACCCATTTGCTATTGGTGCTGATTAAGTAGCTGTACTGTACAGCCTCTTTATTTTTCCAAGCATACTTTTCTCAGGATTACTACTTGATCTTTCTTTTCAGTAATATTTATTTTGCATTTTTTTTCCTACCCTATTTTCTCATCTGTCTTTTTAGATTTCTGGCCTGTTCTCTGCCAATCCTTGACTCATCTATCTCTCAGTTTAGATCCTTAGCAATTTTCCAAGTGTAATTTTCTTTTCAAATCTCGCTTGGCTTTCTTTTTTGCCATATACAGTTGTCTGGTCTTCATGTTGGCTTACAGAATATTCAAACCGCTTAATATTTTTCCACATTTTGTTATGCAACAGCTGTATGATTTCATGGAATATAATTATTTTTTCATAAATCTGCACATGATGCACCATAATTGAAACCTAACAACAAGTGGAAGGCAGTGAGTTACACATAATGTTGCCATGTGACTATGTTGTGTATGTGTAAACGCAGGATGCTTTACAGGGTCTGCAGCACTATTCAGGAAACCAAACACGTGTTAAAGGCCATTTGTGCACAAACACAGACGCAATTATGAGAAATTTGGGCTAAACACCAATTTCTCTTAAATAGCTTTAACCAAATCATTAAAACCTGAAAGAGAGCATTTGGCTCCGAACTCAAGCTTATCTGCACAGGAACTGCAGCATGACAAAGTGTCTTAAGTCATCCATTAAACAGAACCTGAGAAGGTGCCTGTAATTCAAAAAGAGCAGCATGGTTTCCTTCCTGGGGACACAGAGGGCATCTCTGTCCTCTCTGGGAGCATGCGGGGGCAGCAGGTCCTTCCCCAGAATCAGAGAGAGCTCTGTCAAGTGCAGCATGGCCTCACAGCTGAACTTAGCCACCCCCACCCCGCCCACTCCCCACCATCCTCACAGCCACGACAATGACAATGCTGTTGGTGTAAAAAATGCAGCGCTTGTTTAAGGGTCACAGAGGCTGCTAGCTTCCCGACCGAATGACGTGGATCAGGCAGACTATGAGGATGATGCGACAGACGACGGTATATGCTTTTGGTAAAGAACTCGGGTATATTCATAACGACCACTGGGTTCGGTTTAATTATAAGTTTGGGTACCTTCATATCAGGATGCCCATTTCGGGGTCATCGTCAATAATAACCCCTAGAAACCTTGATCAAGGCATAACTGACGTCTTAAAATCTTAAGGTATGGTTCAGGAAAATATTCTCGCCCAGTACAGCCACAGAAAACACAACCAGAAATAACAGACACCCCTAATCTGCGCTGATTGATAGCATGATCTAGGCAGGTGCCATTTTAGCCATGACAGGCCACACATACTGTATGTAATCGTCCCCCAGAGCCATAACACAGGTGACAATAACAGACTCCCACAGCTTAATGTGAAATGGTAAGATGAACATCTAATAAAGCTTCAAGAGGAAGATTAACACAAACATCACTTCTGTGGACTGGGGCAGGAACACAGGGTATGCAAGTTGACAAGTACACCCACTAATGGGCAAGTTTGCACTTTTTCTTATCTGCTGCTGCATTACCTGCTGCTCTGCTACACTGTACCATACTATGTTATGTATAGGTGGCTTAAATACCACATTTCTATTAATGTTACATAGTTTACATACTGCATATTATGTACAGAAAGTTTACATTCCATATTATTATATACAGATAGTTGCATCATTCTATACCCGTTACATAGTCTATATACCATATTTATATTCTGCTGCTGCATTCCTGTTGCTATATTATGTACACTCTATTCATGTATATACTGTGTGTCTGCCCTCCTATCATGTCATGTGCATTATGTGTTAATCTGTACTTTACCCCTGTAATTGTGTGCATACAACCCCCCATATGTCTTATGTTGCACCGTGGTCCGGGGGGAGCGGCATCTCGTACCACTGTATACTTGTGTATGGCTGGCACAACAATAAAGTCCAACTCGACTTGACTTGACACGTTTCCTGGCATTCAACATCCAGATCTCAGATCCACTTATTATAATGGATTGTGGTCAACTCCAGCTCATATCTCAAACCCCCACCAAAATGGGTAACCTTCCCTCTACACCCCTCCTGTTTGGGAGCCAGGTCTTTGTGACATAGTAATTCTGGTTCTGTTCTGTAATATTTTTCATCATGTATATTTCAAAAATGTTTTTGCTTCAGTTGTTGTATGTGCTTTTTTCATTCATATAAAAAACAGATGAAAAGTTTTTGTGAACAACTGTGCCACAGTGAATGAAGTGTACTGAGATAAAAAATAATCAATTTTTGTTAACATGACCAAAATTTAAAATGCCAAAAATCTTTCAATGGACATTTAACCAACCCTTAGCAAAGCATATTCTGAAAACTGAAACTCTAATCTTGGATGTATCTGGAGAGCCATTAACTCCAGCAGACCTTAAAAATCATGCTTACTGTGCTTGTTTTCCTCTTGCTTCTTAATCATGACTCTGTGTTCCAGCACAGCTTACTTGCTCAAAGGGACAGCACAGAAACATTCATTGTTTTCCAGGGCGAGAACACTGACTCAGTCTAAATCAATTTGAAGTTTCTAATTTCAAGACAGAGCTGAATAACTTTAAAACCCTAACCCCTGTGAACACAGGTATCACAATGTAGCCTGTCCAGGACAAAACAGTCATGAGACTTTGTTGAATACTATGGTTATGATTAACAAAGGTCCTATCTGAGTGATCTGTGGATGTCCTGCCTTTTGTCATGGTCCTTCAGGTGCTAGTCCTTTCGCCTACTTTGGATTGAAGGGCAGTAGTTTTCCTACTGGTAAATACACATTTTTTTTGCAGATTACTCCAGACAAACGTAAATCAGGTTATACAGTGCCTAATGCTGTTTCACTTACGTACCTGTTTCACTTTTTTCATGTGCAAAAAGTGTCATACAGGAAAACAAGTTCAACAACCCTGGTGTCCATTTACAAATTTGATTCTCTCTCATGGTGCTGGAAGGCAGGTTTTAAATATATTCAGTATTAAGTAGATCTTAGGCAATCAGAGAAGATGTTTAAAGCTATTTATCTGCATAGTAAGTATATATTTGCTCAGAAAAAGAAACACAGTATATAAGATTATGTGCTAATGTCCAGCCACCCATAAAAGTGTTGTTGATGTTTTACTGGATGGCTAAATTAACATAACTTTAGTTTCCATATCCTCTATTTCTTCAAATCCACCGCCTGTTCACTTAATAAATTGGTTAAACAATCTGATAGATCTGTAGAGGTGGAGGAATGGGGGTGGGGGGGGCATCCTCCAATATTTTATTTGGATCCACCCCCCCACCCCCATAGATAGACCTTTAAAATGAAACTGTGTCCCCCTCTAATATCAAACTCTCTCTTGCGCTGTTGCAAACATGATATACTAGTGGTTAAGTTAACAAATACTTGGTATCTTGGTTACAGCAAGTACTGGGTTGAATTTCAGAGAGGATTTGAAATGGCTAAGCAAACATACTTTGTCAAACAGAAAATCATCGTTTTGCACTAACATAATGATAATTTTAACATATTCATTGACAACCCATAAGTTTTGTACAGTAGTATATGCAAAATTGTGGAAACACCTAGAATTTTTTGCCATGACTTTAAAAATTGTTACACTAATATTGGCGGTAATGGTTATAAACAATCAACGACTGTTTGCAAATATCATACATTGGACGATTAAATAAGTAACTGGAGTAACTGGAAAAAAGTTCTGCAGTCTCGAAAAAATGGAAGCGTCTGCACGATTTTGGCCACTAGTGTGTATTATCAGATTGGCCTCAAGATAAAAGACGATTAACCCCCCCCCCCCCGCCCCCACACCCTACAATCCATCCCCGTTTAAGCTGGTCTACACCACATTCCCAACGTAACACCAACTTTGGGTTCTTTAGTTCTGTCCTGTTCTATAACCAGTAACAGTTGAATTGCATATTAGCAAAGTGAATTTAACTTTAACCTTTAATCCACACACTGTCTTCAACAAGCAGGATGCTGTAACAATAGGTGCAAGGGTGTATGAAAGAGTTTTATATGAGCGGGACAGGACTTGATTTAAATGAATCAAAAATATTTTTTATTTTTTTTATTTATTTTTTTTGGGGGGGGGGGGTGGTTTGGGGGCGCCTTAACGAATATTGAGGGGTACATATGCCCCAACCCATAAGGCACATAAGGCAATGGAAACTAATTTTTAAAATCTCATTCAGCATTCCAAACAGATATCGTTACTACGTGAGTAATGCATACCAGTGTGTATTAATAAGTACCATGTTTTCTTCTGTTTTATTTAGTCTAAAATTGAAGCCGCATTGTAACTATAATAGGAATTCCTAGCAAAAATGAAGTGCATGTATATGATATAGACTGAGACTGCAGTAAAATAGTTAGAAATGCTGAAATGTTCTCATACCGTTACATTATGGTCTCTTTTTAGCCATGTGGCGCCCTAGGCATCCTTCACAGCCGGCACCCGCCCCCCAATTTATCTCCCACCGGATTGGGGGCGCAGAAGATGGCGCCCTAGGCGGCCACGGAAGTCGACGGGGTGACCGGCTTCACCTTCGGCTAAGACGGGAAACTCAGCAGCCATGTGCCGGTTTCCGTCCTGATTCCGCGGCCGACAGCTGCTTCACAAACCGCCGCTGAAACTAAATCAACCTTTTCGGTCGTGTTACTAATGCGATGCCATGTCATCTGTCCTCATCAGGCAAAAGTGCTCAATACGCAACTTTAACAGCAATATTTTATTGTAAATGTCTTAAGCAATTGCAGAAAATTGTCCAGTCAAAAATCATAATATCTGTGGCCCCGTGCACATATCATTTATGCAAATCCATGAATTTATTCTTCCGAAAATACAAAATGAACAACCATTTACGTACCAGCTCTTGCTTCAAACGTCTCAAGCATTTATCCATGTTTTTGCGGTCAGGTGTTGAATGTTGCTGTTCCATTTTCGTGGATGCAATTTATACATTAAGCACAACTTTTTCTTAGCTTTCACACATGTTTCCTCATACCTCGCTGGAGAAAGGAACTGAAAAGTAGAAAAGTAGTCCTTAACTGAAGTTAAAAAACGAAAACTTTCTTTTCAGGGTCTCGTTTTAGTTTTACAGAAATGAAATACCATGGAAATGGCTGTTTTTTCGCAGATGCTTGCAGGAAAATGCAAATGTCTTCTAATTCCCCAGCTATCATCTGAGACTGGTTCACTCCGAGGTTAATCTTTCCCAGTGACTTTCTGAGATCAGCGGCGTCTTCGTGTTATCAATGAGCTGGACAAATACGCTAAACAGTTTTTCTCATCCCAGTAAACCCAGCTTACAAAACGCGCATTTCTGCTCCAGTGCAGACGAAACTGGCTCGACTGCATTTCTCTGCCAGATCATTGAACAGATTCAGCTGATGCAGATCCTCCTCTAAACCTTATGCCTGATGAATTTCTATTTTATGTAAGCCATTAATGTAATACCTGAATGCGCAGCTATTTAAAACATTATGAAACGCGATCTGCAGTTAAAGAGATGACAAAAGCTCATCGTGTTTAAAATAGCGCCCTATAGGCTACAGCACCACTTGCCAAAGTCGTGCTCTAGTGAGACTGAAAACTTGTCTGTCCTAGAAATGCAGTCAGAAGATTTCTGTTGTTTAAGTCGTTTACAAATCATCTGCAATGCCTGCTTGTGGAGATACTCTATGGGGATCATCCATGACAAAGGCGCTGCCCCAGGGATACCAGCTAATCTTAGTAACCGTGTTTAAAGTGTAGTTTAAAACGTTTTTTGGAGGAAAAAAGCACCACAATCGTAAACTCAGGACCGTAAAGCTGATCATCGTATAGCGAGTTACTTCCCTGAACATTATGCTGTGTTTGCTTTATTTAACTAAGCCATATTCATTTTATACAAAAAAAGTTAAAATATAGAGTCTTTTATTTGTATAGACACTGGCAATCCTGTTGAAATTGTAAAAAGAGAATGTGAATATCAGTTTATTATGATTCACCTGTGTCCCTGGCTTTTATCTATTTTTTACAACATTAAAACACCCCAGGAAGAGTCAGTATTGAGTTTCCAATCTACTTACACACTCAAGTTTACTTCCCCAAACTACCAAACAAACTCAAGTTACAATAAGTACAATATATAGATACAATTCTCCTACTGACTTTTATTGTTCAGTAGCACTCAAAATCGTGCATCATTTCGTGGGAAGTGTTTGAAAAATCCATCCCACCTGGCCACCCCACTGCAAGTGAAAGCTATTGCATTAAAATATTGTCTTCTGTATGACAGATTGTTAAAATGGACTATATGGAAACAACCATTAAGCCAGATATGTAATCAATCATAAACTGATCAATGAGTAAAGGGAAACACAAACTACTTTTTGCCATCAAAACTATCACCCGCTAAGCAGAATCACTTGTGATTCCATTAAATGTCATTCTGGCATTGTGCTTCATTGCTCTGTTTGCTGTTTTGCCCCAACCACTGCAGACTGCTTTTTGTGACTTTACTACTTTAACTGAAAGAGGCTTTTACATTTACAGATTTGGATTAGAGCAGATTGGGAAAAGTGTCAGGCCCTGTTTTCTGGGTTGTCCCCAGTGAGCCTATCTGGTGGTCTCTGCAAATATCAGCTCACTTTCCAGTGGGATGGGTTCTTACAGGCAGCAATGCTCAGCACACTGCTTCATGCTTATTCATCTCCCAGGGGGTGGGGCCCACAGCCCATGAGACCACACTGGATTAGCACTTTGTGGCAGCAGTCTTGTTTACACAATAAACAAAGTTTCTCTAACAAGAACACGTCTCAGTTTGCTAGAATATACGTGCACATGGTTATTACTTGTGTGTAAGAGAGCATTAAAAAAAATTTAAAAACCAACCACCCGTCAAGTTCCTGCAAGTTCTTTGGCACTCCATGGCATTGCAGTGACATGAATCACGCTTTGACTGCTGCTTCCTGACTGCGCCGTTCAGTTCGTTTTTATGACGTGCCTTTGCAGACAAGGTCTTGACATGCATATAACTAGGGCTCATGTGTGACATTCCAGTAGGATTTAAAGCAATTTTTGCAGTGATGACAGAAGGTCATGCATTTCTCAGAATGATTGGGAAAATTATTCCCTTACAGCAGGTTTAGTGAGAAAATGACAACAGGGAAAGAAAATATTAAAAGGGAAGTTTTCGTTCTTCCACAGCTAAAGGAATGATTTGCATAGAAAGGCTTCTTGAAAGAATGCAGAACTTTTAATTACCATTGTATCAAGCATGCATTGGCAAGTATTAACAGCTCCCTTTCTTGCACTTCTTTATCCCCTGTAGGCCACACAATGACTTACTTCAATTGACAGCACCTGAGTGTAACTGGCAACTGTGCTAACAAGACCCCACTCAACTACAACTGCTGGGGGAGAATGGAGGCAAGGAGTATGTCAGTCACCTGCCAACAACATGGGGATTTCACATTCCTTTCTGCATTGTTTTCATATTCTAGGCATATAAAAAAATCACAAAGATAATGGTCGCAATATGAAATCCTGTGATGCTGAGCACAAAGAAGATAATAATGTCCGTCCTGTAAAAACCACTGCAACATCCTTAAGAAAAAGGCTCCACAGACCCACAGCGTTTGCTAGTATTAATTACTGGAACAGGCCTCACCTTGTTCAGCAAGCAAGGTAGTTCAGTACATTAATGATTTCACTTATTAATAAAGCATTTAATTTAATGTTACATATACAGCCTTTAGGCATAAACTGCCAGGCCAGTTTAAATCACAGTTTGCAAGTTTCAGTGCAGATTTTGGGTGTTGTACTACTGTTCTTCAAATTAGGCTGCTGAATCACTCTCACTTTCAGTCCATTACTTGGAAAATAAAATGACAATCCAGCCAAGGTCACAGGTGTTTTGAAAAATCTCAGGGAACACAGGATGAGGGCATGCCATGGATGGGTCCAAATGCGCATTGTTAAAGGTAAAAATATCATTTGTTTTGATGAAAGAGAAGAAACAGTAAACGACAACAGTGAAAGCACTGATACATTGATGACTGTGATAATATGAACATGCGCACTCATCTGAATCTACACTCAAGTTACACCTGCTGAACCACAGCCCCTATCATTTATAAAATCTCTACTTTTTACTAGGGCTGTGCAGACTTTTTAAAGGGCAAGTGTTCAAATTTATAAAAAGGAATCCTGCATTACAAAAACATTTTCATTATGATTTAGCATGTTGTAGCTCCAGCAGAAATAGTACATTGGTAGTTTACTTAACTGTGAATTGAATCAACCTCAGTTACTAGTTATGTTGGTTTTAAGAATATGGTGGTTTCTTACCCCCTATATTTTGGCTAGCTGTGCTAAAGAAAACATATTAAATAAAGGATTTTTATCAGTTTAATCTAGAAAACATTTTGGTCATCTGTATAATGTTATATATTTCTGTAATTGTACAAAACAATTACAAAATATAATTAATAAGTACTATCCAGATAAAGTAAAATCAATTGTAAGATAGTATCTGGCTAGTGATTGGGTCAAAAAAAAATTCATTCATTGTCAACCAGTTTAGGGAGATGTGGAAATGTGGCAAGCATCGAATGAAAACCCATTCTTTGATATTTTTGTTTTGGGGGGGGGGGGGGTACACTTAAGTCCTCATTGCCACTCTCCCATTTTTTTCTCTCAAAGCAGCCATATTTCTCTTATGTGGCCATTTGTTGTTTACACCTAAATGTGATTAAGCCAACAAGGGTAACTGAGTGTGATTAGGCCACTGAAGCTTAATAGCCTGGAGACAGCAGACAGCTCTGGCCTTGCATATGGCCAACCATACCATTACTGCACAAGGGAAAGACAGTGTGTGATATACACTGGAATTCTAGAAGCAAATATTCTGTTTCTGTTTGCTAAGTGTCTGGCTCTTTTGGTTTCTCATTCATCCATACACCTTCGAAGAGTATATGGTTTTGGGATTTTCTGGTTTAATTAATGGAAGAAAATATATAAAGTTTATATTAATGTTCTGTCCCGAGGTGTTTCGTGGTATGGTGGGCGTGGCAACACGCTCTAACCAGTGCATGCTCCCCAACCTCACTTGACTACCTTGGATATTTAAGTTTAAGTTACTGTGCAGAATTGTGCATGCCTATACAGTCTATGCAAATGACATCTATAAAAGGACATTATTTTATTTATCTATTTATTTGTTTAATTTCACTGGCATTTTGGTAAAACGTTGAGAATAATTATTGAATTCAATTCTGAATGGCATATTCATTTTAAGTATAATTGCTGATGGTGACGCAAGTTCTTATTTTGTTAAAGGTACTTGAAGATTGTTATAATACTCCCATCTAGCGTTGAAATATGGTAAGTGCAACACGAAGGGCGTAGCAATTTTAGATTGAATAACATCCTAGGTGTTTCATAAATACGAAGCTCCCAAAAACTTTATAGGAAGATTGAAAATCTATGACCTGACTAGACGCTAGATTTATGACTGTCTATAATATGTTCACTCTGCAGTCCTTACAACAGCTCAATTTTGAGCCAATAAAACGGCATTTTCTTTGAGCCGAAGTATCGCGATATTCTGATTGTTTGCAAAGATGGCGGCTTCCTTGAAGAAAGTAGCTCATGATATTGAATCACGCAAAAGAACTGATGATGTTCTGTTGTCTGAAGGAATTGATTTTGGTTCTTTGCTGTTGTCTCAGCCCGTCCTCGATGGACTCACTGCTGCAGGTTTCCAGAGACCCTCTCCGATCCAGCTAAAATCCATCCCGCTTGGGCGATGTGGACTGGGTAAGTTCAAGTCTGTATCCACGAGTGTTGGCGGCGCATTTGTTGAAAAGTAATTAATTAACTATTAAATATGTCATATTATAGCCAGATACAATTAATTCGTCTGGAACCAAATTGTGTTGTTTAATGATAATTGGTGACAGTTTTTTGACTTCCTACTGGTTTTATGTTTTTATTTCCCTTCTCACTGAAGATCTGATTGTTCAAGCCAAGTCTGGCACGGGGAAGACCTGCGTGTTCGCCACTATCTCCCTGGATTCTCTGATCATACAGAATCTAGCAACACAGGTGAATTGCAACAACGTTAAGCAACCTCATCTTAAGAAAAAGCAGTGGTGTGGAATACTTCGTTACTATATACAGCGGTGTCGGAGGAATACAGATAGCGTGGCAGATTCAGGGGGCTTCATAGCCCCTCCAAAATCTACCATTGGGGGACGCCCGTTGTGCATAAAATACCTAGTCATTGAATCGATGCTAAATAAATTTAATACTCAAGTATTGTTAAAATCAGATACATACGATTTTTATTTTTTTATTTTTTTAACTCAAGTAGTGTTTTAATGGATGGCTTAACTTTTAGCAGAGTGATTTTCTAAGGTGTCCCTACTTTTATTCAAATATGGTTTTCGGGTACTCTATCCACCACTGGAGAAAAATTCAGTAAAACTTTACTTGAAACTGTCATCTATAGTGCATTATAGATACTTTCATAATTCATTCTAATAGTCGGTATAAGATTTAATAGCATTTCAGTCTCTTGACAGTTACAAGACATTATAGTGTTCATTATAATACTTCATAAACTCCAATGAAGTTATCTGTAATGCACTATAGATACCTTCATAATGCATTGTAATGGTCGACATAAGAATTAAGGATGCTTTGTACAGCATTATAATGGTATTTATAGTGCATTATAGATGAGAGCTTCATAAAGCATTCATAATGCATAATAAACATGAGTAAAATGTGTTGTCTGTTTATATAAATATTTATAGGCACGGTTATAATGCTTTATTAATGCATCATAATGTGTTGTGAATGTGTTCACAGATTGTTATAGTCATGGCATTCATAGAAATTTCTGGAATATTTATGCAGTTTTCTGTCCTGTTTTCATTGGCTGTAACTGTCTTAATATAAATGTATTCTGACTGTAGAATTCGAACTGCACTTATGATTCATGATGGGTTTCCGATGCATTTGTAACAGGTGCTTGTCCTGGCACCCACCAGAGAGATTGCAGTCCAGATCCATTCGGTGATCACGATGATCGGCAGCTGCATGGACGGACTGGAGTGTCATGTATTTATAGGGGGAACACCGGTGAGCCAGGACAAAGCGAGACTGAAGAGATGCCACATTGCTATTGGGTCCCCGGGTGAGTCCTGAGTCTGTCATAGTTTCTTGGACTGCTGATATCAGCATCACAGTCCTGCTTGTGAGACCACAGTCGGAACAGGCAGTATCTAAAGTAAATGACAGGATTCATTTTTATTGAATTATTTCAGCATTCAGATTAATACTAAGCTTAAAAAGCTGACTGTTTATTATTTTACTCACTTGGTAGAGATGGAACGTTTTACTGATGGAATCCAACCTGGGAGGTAAAAGCTTTTGACTCACCAGTCGATCTACCTTTCCTACTCTCACTTACTATGGGTAGTGACTGAAAGAATGAGATCGCAGATGCAAACAGCAGAAATGAGTTTCCTCTGCTGGATGTCTGGGCTCAGCCTTAGAGATGCGGACCTTGGACATTCAGGAGGGGCTCGACGTAGAACTGCTGTTCCTCTGCATCAAAAGGAGTCAGTTGAAGTGGTTTGGGAATCTATGTAGGATGCCTCGTGGACGGCTCCCTGGGGAGGTGTTTTGGGCACATCCAACTAGGAGGAGGCCACGAGGCAGCCCCGGAGAGATTATATCTCTGGCCTGACCTGGGATGGCTTTGGTATTCCCCTGGAGGAGCTGGAGGGGGGGTGGCTGGTGAGAGGGAGGTCTGGGCGCTTCCCGACCCCGGATAAGTGGCAGAAGATGGATGGATGGAATTAATTCAAGTATCTTGTATGGGGATCTACGTGACCTCCAGTCTTGTGTGAATTTGTGTGTGACTTCTGCCTTGAATTCACTGTCTGTGTGTTTTTTTTCTTTCTTTTTTTTGCTGTGAAGGACGTGTGAAGCAGCTGATTGATTTGGGGTTCTTGTCTACATCAGCCGTTCGCCTCTTTGTCTTGGATGAGGCTGACAAGTTGCTGGAAGAGGGCAGCTTCCAGGACCAAATCAAGTGAGACATGTATATTTTTTTATTTTGAAAAATGTATTTGTGTTACCATTAGTAATGACAGTTTCAAGTCTCTGCTTTAGTAAAGTAATATGAAGATGTTTGGTGGCCTGGCCTTTGGTCATAAGAGTTAGTTGCATTACTGAACCCCAGAATACCGTGGAGGAAGCATGTCCCTTCAGTTTGTTCTTTTATTAGTTGCTGTCAAACACGTTTTATTGTATTTTCCTTATTTTACCTGCCATAAGCAGAGTTAAGGCCAATTCATACTTTACTTTTCTGTGCGCACTTTCGGTTGCAGATGAGGGGACGTGATGTGACGTGACGTAATGTCATCGGGGGACGGCTGCCGACGGCCGCGGTTGTGCGTGTGTAGCCCAGATTTTTATGTTTAGCGGAAACCTTGTGCATCCGTGCACGTCGACCGTGCACGTGCAAGATAATTGATTAGGTATTTCTAGTAAGTTGCAGAGTGGGCTTTTACAGATCAGTGGCCAACGACTAAAGAGTAGAGGAAGAATAGCTGTTGTAGTAGTTATGAGGAGGGTCGGAGGTATCTGCATATCTAATGTTTTATACAGTCCAGACATACCGACTTATGTGGTATTTTAAAAAGCTGCACTATTGTGGCATTTTGAAATCTTGGCCATAAAATTTGCAGGGGGGGGGGGGTTGGGGTTCTGGCTAATTTTGTCGTAAGGATTTCAAAGTACTGTGGTTTGCCTTTTTACAGTAATGCAGCCCAAGCCATGACAAATAACTTTAATAGTGTTCATAAAATTTCCCGTCTTTTCACTACACTTCTTGTGTTTGTGCTTGTTGCAATACATCTGCCCTCTCCTGGTCTGGTGGAGTTTCACTGCTGTATGCATATACCGACCGTGACCATCTGCCAAATGCAGTATGAAGGCAAACTGCCCCATGGATAATTGTCCTCAGCCCAAAAGTGCACACGGAACAGTGTAGTTTGAACGTGGCTTTACCATTTTACTGACTCTTTAAAAGAGGTCTTTACTAAAGTCGAGCCAAAGGCATTATGGATTCTTTTTATCAAAAGTTAATCTTAATTGACTTATTTAGTTTTTACTGGTTTCTGACATTTTATAGTTATTTGCAAAGTTTACCTTTTTGATTATTCAGTCTGTTTTTAAACCTACATGCCTTCATCATGAATATAGCCCTAGTTGCTGGCCTGGCATTGAGAATCGGCACCTATAGCTGTACATAGCTGCCCATCACAATCATTTTCTGCTCTTGTACTATTCAGTCTCATTTCCGTCTTCCTTGCTGGCATCCTGACTCTGTCCTTCTTCTCCTCCAGCTGGATATACTCCACTCTACCAGCCAGCAAGCAGATGCTAGCCCTGTCTGCCACTTATCCTGAGTCTCTGGCCCAGAACCTGGGGCGCTACATGAGAGACCCCACCTTTGTGCGACTTAATGCTACTGACCCCAGCTTGATGGGTGGGATACCCAATTACAATAGCAATGCTGAATAAATTCAGTAAATGCAGCTGAACCTATTTGCGTATTAAAATTTTTAAATTTATTTATTTATATTGGTCTTCAGGGTTGAAGCAATTTTACAAACTGGTGCGTTCCCACCCGCTGCCCCATAAGATCTTTGAGGAGAAGGTCCAACACTTGTTTGATCTCTTCAGCAAGATTCCCTTCAACCAGGCCCTGGTCTTCTCCAATCTTCATAGCAGGTACCCCATTTTTCCATCAGATACTGTAAATATGACAGAATATTGGCCTGTTAATGTCTGCTGGTCTGTTGCATCTCGTGGCGAAGCTATGGTGCACATAGCCCTACACATCACACAGTACACATCACACAGTACACATCACACAGTACACATTACACTTATGCATCACAAAATACATAGTGACTCGTATAGTCGTTTAAATAGTGATGTTTGGGAAGGACCCAGGGAGGCTTTCTTGGTGATGGAGCTGGTCCAGGAAAGTTCATCTGCCATGTGCAAACCCAGGAGCTTCACACTGCTCACTGCTGCTCGCTCTCCCTTGAACATCAACAGCTTCCCTGTTGATAGTGAGCAGTGTGAAGCTCCTGGGTTTGCACATGGCAGACAAACTCTACTGGACACCACCTCCATCACGAAGAATGTAAGCCCAGCAGTGTCTCCACTTGCTTTGAAGGCTAAAGAAGGCCAGCCTCCCTCCTCCCATCCTTGCCACACTCTACCGAGGGCCCATCAAGAGCGTCCCCCGCTGCTGCTTCACTGTCTGGTTCGGGCACTGCGGTGTCACTGACCGCAAGCCCCTGCACTGGATAATCAGGACAGCAGAGAGGATCATGGGGCCTCCTTTCCCAACCGTCACCTAACTGTACAGGAAACATGTCATCCGCTGTGCAAACAAAAATATTTCCGTCTGGCAGAAAGTTCCAGAACATCTCAACTGTCACTGCCAGGCACTGCAACAGGTTCTTTCCCCAGGAAGTGAGGCTCTTCAGTACCCTGCCTCCCCCCTCCAGGACCAGCACTGCCCCCACTAGTCACCCCCCAGCCTCAGACTGCCGCTACCCCCATCAGACCCCCCCCCCCCCAACTACTCTACAGTGATGTTATTTGATGCCTTTTTGTCTTTTCTTTTAATACATTTTCACAAGCACTACTTGCACTACTCTGCACATTTGCACCAAATCATAGTCTTTGTGCACATTTATCTTGTGTTGTGTTGTTGATGTTGCGCATTTATTTTTTGTATTTGTACGTGAATGTGCTGACAAAGAACTCTTGCATCTTGAGGGATTCATCTTCTGCCGCCACTGACAAATTCTCATCTGTCCTAGGGCACAGCACCTGGCTGATATCCTGTCGCAGAAGGGCCTCCCTGCCACCTGCATTTCTGGTAAGTACCGGACCGCATCATTAGTGCTGGGAGCTTTACAGTGGGCTCTATCCTAAACCTGTACACCAGTGACTCAAAATATTACGAGCACCCCCATGTGAAACGTGGCCACAAACCCGTCAGGGTTCCCACGCTAACCCCTGTCCACTGTCGAAGGATCAAGGGAAGAAGATCGGTGCATCCTGTTCTCTGTCCGTCATCTGGATGACTTGGTATATGCCGATCATCTGTGGGATGCGTTGGACTACCAAGTCTGACCCGTGGCTCTCCTGCCCCCTGTGCACGAGAGTTCCATGCACTGTGCTGTGACACATTTCTTCCATAACCATCGTTAGAAGTATCTGCCGTTTGTGACACAGTAGCCGTCATTCACATCTTGCCTCGACGAGTCTTGGCCGCCCAAGACCTGCTGAAGATGCCCTTAATTAGGGGTGACTGAATAGTCTGTTGCTGTGTGGGAGCATTTTTGCTTCAACCTGTTTGCATGAGCAGCTTTTCCATAAATGTGCTCCCTCTGATTTACCCGTCAGGCAGCCTGAGTCAGGACCAGAGGCTGGAGGCCATGGCCAAGCTGAGGCAGTACCAGTGTCGTGTGCTCATCTCCACCGACTTGGCAAGTCCATCTCTGTCACGCCCTCACACGCGCGCATGGTTATATTCATATCTTTGTTGGAACCGTTCATTCGTTTCAATGGGAAAAACCCTAATCCCAACTATGACAACCTTAACACCTACCCAACCCTAAAAATATGTAAACAAATAAAGTACAAGACTTTTTGATTGCTGTCATAGATTTTTATAAAATGGTCCCCACATTTTCAAGATACAAGATCTGTTTGTCAATACAACAATATACACAGTATACAGTGTATTGAAATGTCATTCCACACAGGTCCCCCATGGTGCGTTATAAAAATTAAAAAAATATACCAAAAAAAACAGGTTTTTTTTTTTACATTAAGCGGACCAAAGTGGGGACATTTGGTCCCCACAATGTCATATATACATAATCCATACACACACCCTAATGCCCACCTTCCTAACTGACATAGCTGCCAGTGGGCTTCTCTTTTGGTCTGGTGGAAATTTTATGCTTTAGCCACATCCCGTTTAATTATGTGTCAGGTGATGTGCAGCTGTATGATGTGCAAAAGAAGTTGACTGAGTATTGTCCCTGTGTGGAGCAGGAGAGTGAGCATTGATATTTATATTCTAACTTCCCCTTTTGTCCTTTGCCTTTGCTGGTGTCCCCAGACCTCTAGGGGGATCGATGCAGAGAAGGTCAACCTAGTCATCAACCTAGATGTGCCGCAAGACCATCAGACATACATGCACCGTGTTGGGCGAGCAGGCCGCTTTGGTACATACCTATTCTGCTGTTGACAGGTGTCCTCGTCAACGGTGACGTGTCAAAGCTGGTATGGAATGATACAGCTCAAAACGAATACCGTATTTTTCGGACCATAAGACGCACCTAGTTGTAGGGGAGGGAAATGAAGAAAAAAAAGATTCTGACCCAA